CGTGTCCCTGGAGGCTTTTCCAATATACCTCAAGGAGAGAGTCACACACACACAGGCTGGATCCATCTCCAGTTTATTTGTTTGCAAACAGATCGACAAGGGAGTTCAATGCTCAAAGCCGAGTCGACCCCTAGCCACGCCCGAAGTTACATTTTTATACCTCTCATGAACAAGATTCCATTGTGGCAATTTGTGATTTGCTACAGTTTTCTGCAAAGTTTAGTACGTGTGTAGTCCTAAAACGAGCAAGTAACAAGGGTTGCAAAATTTATGTGCAAAGCAGGCAGTAACTAATCTTTGTGTTCCCACAGGAATCAGCCTTATCGCAAACCGAACATTTGTTCGGACTGTTCTTTATTATGCTACTGATTATCTAGTGCAGGAAGAAAGAAGAGAAAAAGAAACAATTTGCAGTTCTCAGCTGTGAGGTCTTTTGTGTAGTGAGATCATGAGACATTTTTGCCACATAGGGAGACACCACTACATTGTTTACATTAGTGTCACAATCTGTAGGATTTTGGCAATCAGAGGGGCTAGAAGCCAATTGTTTAAATGGAAGCATGGACATTACAGCACAACTATGCAGCCAGGTCAAAAAGAGCATAGAGCTGCATAATTTCATGATACGTGGAGCTCTGCCTACAGTATATTACCTGTGTAGTTTGACACGCCCCAAGAGACTACTCAAGTATTTGGGAAGCATCGTGGAAGAAACATTTTCCCCAATACACATTTTAAGTGCCCCTTTCCCCAATTTCATCTCATTACAGTTTGAGATATTTCTCAATCCCTCAAATAATCCCCTTCTCCTATTAGGTTTTATATCCTCCAGATACTTTGATTTTTGTTCAAAGAATCAAAATCCTTCAAATGGCAGTAGACAGACACTTGGCTTGCTGCTATGGCAAAGCTATATCTATCTCAGGGCTTTTCCATCTTTCCTATCTGGTGACCCTGTGCTGTGGTAGAAAGTAGCTTGGGGAGTCCCCTACCACCCATCTGTAGAAAAAAGAGAGGGTGGAGAAACTATGTTTTATTTCCCTCTCATGCTCCTTCTGCAAAAGTCAGTCCTTCCTGGTTCCAAATCAGAGAAAGTAGATTGTGTTACGATGCACTGGCTCCTTTTTACAGACTGTTACTTATGCTGCCTTTTTGCTTAAAGGGGAAGCTGTCAAAGAGATTGAGCCCCAAATGTGACCTGTATCTTCCAACTACTCTGCTCTGGTGGGCAATGCCTTGTGGCATCTACTGATCCCTCTTGCTATGACATCTATCCCCATGACTGGTAATGAATGATCATTGAATGGATGAATCAATGAATGATCAGTATCACACAAGAACAGGCTTTAGGCATGGTGATTTTGTGAGGATTATTTAGTTAATAAGCCCTGTTCCACAGCCCTTACTTACACTAGCACCATTGACTTCAGTTAGCACTGGTGTGAATCAGGAACAACTCCACTGAGCTCAGTGTCAACGAAAGTACTTACCAGACTTCTCTGCTGCCTTTATCCTTGTCGCCCGAGTACCTCCTAGCCCAGAAAGTGTGTTCCAGAATCTGTAGGCTTCAGACCAATTTCTGTAAAGTACTTTAAGGGTGTCAAAATAAGG